TGGACACATCACACATCTGATGACCAGGCCCAAACACAATCTGCAGATTTTTAAACTGTTTTCAGTGCTGATCCAAAATGACAAACTGTGGACCACCTGGTCTCAATCTGAAGCACTTGGTCAGTGACTTCCAGCGACGGACACCAACAAACACGCCAACCGTCTGGATACATCTGTGTGTTTGCTGCTGCTCTGGCATGAGGGCAGACATTTAATAATAGATTTAAATAAACTGATGTTCTGTGACATTTATGATCAGACGCAGCACAGACTGAGTGTGTGTGTGTTTGTGTGTGTGTGTGTGTGTGTGTGTGTGTGTGTGTGTGCAGAGACAAGTTAAAGCTGGAGTAGGAAGTTTCATTCTGACATCACTGGGCAAACATCCCATAATAAGCTTTGAGAATACTGTGACTCAAATTTCCTCTCAGAGCACTTGGCTCCTGCTCCTCCTCTTGTTTTCAGGAGATTTTGTCCAATCACAGGTCATTTCAGGCAGAGAGCGTTCCTATTGGCTGTTTGCAGATGTTTGTCGTCCCTTCAGACGGTGAACGTCTGATTCAGAGGAGGAGAATCCTGCAGAGAAAGTATCTGTTCCAGCACTGAAAACAACTTCCTGCACTGCAACACCCAAAAACCAAGATGGATGGATCAGAATCCAGCGTGACCTCCAGTCAGCAGCTGCAGACATCTGAATCCAGTCAGATCAAACTCCAGCTCAGAGGGACCGGACAGCCCCGCCTCCTCACCACATCAGAAAACTTTCTGTTGCTGCTGTTACACAGGTTAGACCTGACACTGCTGCTGGACACCAGCTTGCTGTGACACAGACACCTGGAGGATTTGAGCTGAATTTGAGCAGCTACAGCTGCTGATTGAAGGTCTGTCTGCCCGCTCTCCTCCCAGGGAATCAGAACACAGCAGCGGGGAGCGAGGCGGTTCATAACAGCTATTTCTTGTCTCATCTGTGGTCTGATAAACATTTAGAAAGCCAAACAGCATGACTTTCAATACAGTGAAAAGAGTGAGGGCTGGGGCACCACTGCTGACATGTTTTAAACACAAATACAGTCCGACAGGCCGACACCCATGAAACATCAGAGAGGTAACACAGATACCACCTGAGCTAGTGACAGGGCAGACTGATGTTTGTCTGTTTGTCGGCTGAATTTATATAAAAAACGTTTCTCAGTGAGCTTGAATAATTCAGAGATTTAAAACAGTGACTGTTCTGCAGCTCCACGCGATGCAACTGAACGCTACATCATTTATTAATCAGATCAAACTGAAACTCTGACGAACTGATCTCATGTATCTGGAACCACATCTGGATCTGATCAGCTCTGATCAATGATCAATACGAGCAACAAGAGAGAAGAGAGGGGAGGACAAACAGAGGGACACTCCCCACAAGGAAACAGGGAGTAGCTGAGAGCTGGAGGAGAGGAGGAGGAGGAAGAGGAGGAGGAGGAGAGGTAAAAGCCTGAGTTGTGTTTTTCTGCCTGGAGAATCCATTTAGAGGTCGGCCTCTCCCCGCTGATAACTAATGGACCTGAAGACTGAGGAAACAAGGAGAGGAGAGGAGAGGAGAGGAGAGGAGAGGAGAGGAGAAACAACGAGGAGCTGATGGAGGAAGTGAAGGGACCTTTCAGAATAAAAGCCTCCAGTGAGTGTCAGAGACATAACCAAAGTGTCCTAACAGAGGTTTCCTTCAGCTGTACAAATCAACATCTGCACCTCATTATTCTTGTTAATATTAACATTATGGATTTTTAATTAACATAAGCTGTCCAATCAGAGAGTGACCTGTCTGTCCTCTCAGGGTGAACAGGAAACAGGAAACAGGTGTGAAAGACTCCTCACTCACATATACTGTATGTAGGCGCTGCATTGACTGTGTCAGCGGTGCCGCCAAGTTTATGATCTATGTGTGGTAGAAAAAAAAGTTAATTATAATCTATATAATATAGAGATTATAGGAGAGTGTGTGTCAGACTGACAGGAACTGAAATACTGATGTGGAGGAAAATGATTTATTGTCATGAGGAAGAATAAAAACTCACATTTGTCAAACACGACTTTGGTTTATTTTCTCTGGTTAAATATTTGTGGAGACGTCCCTGTAGAATATAATTTAATGTGGAAGTAGACAACTCACGACTAACTGCACACTAGCGAGCTAACACTGTCTGTTTATGAACTCCTTTATATTCATATCAGAATAAAGTAACTTTCAGCACCGCTCACTTTAAAAAGGAAACACATCAAACAGATAATGGATCATAGATGTTTGTTTCTGACGGCCAGCGTTCAGCCATTGCTAACGCACCTTTCAAGCTAACATAGCTAGCATGTTAGCGAGCCTTTCAGTATCGTGGCTGGATGGAAACCAATCTACAGTCACGTTAAAATGAGCAGTGGGTAAAGTTACTGTATTGTGTTATGATCAATGACCTGATAAAAAAGCAGACGGTGTTAGCTCGCTGGTGGAAAGTTGTTACTTCCACATTATATTTTATAGGAACGTCTCCACAGGTGTTAACAAGGAAAATAAACCAAATTATGGATGCACAATAATCCATATATATATCCAATATATAACAACTTGACTGGGTGTGGTAACATGATGGCTTCTCATTCTGAATGAAATCATTCTGAATTAAAGTCTTTCCAGGTAGTTTACATGAGAAATATTCATTCTGAATGAGGGTTTACACAGAGATCAGTTTAATCGCCTTTATTCAGGTCCACAAGGTTTGGGGCAGGGAAGGTTTCTGATTGGATAGGGGGCGAGGCGGATGTTACGTGTTTACATTTACCAGAAGAAAACACTGTAGTCATCGCTCCGGATAACAAGATGCTTGACGACGCCGTTCTTAGTGCCTTTTTCGGGCATGTTTTGCTTATATTCTTGAAGCAGCAGTACGACAACAACCTTGTTCTGCTAATGCTTCGTCTGTTGAGGAGGAGAAGGGAGATAGAAGGTCGAAGAAGGGAGATAGAAGACCGTGCTGTGGAGAATGGAAACCGGTGAGTGCAACGAGTCCGACTGCTCTATCTCAGCCCGTTGCTATGCGCGCTGTATACGTCATGGCGCCAGAATGGCAAGGAAACGAGCATGTGCAGAAAGACCGGAATGAACTTAAAGAGGAATGAGTGTATACAAGTGTGAGAAATTCTTTCATTGGGAATTAGAAAGGGAATAGCTACTGTCATTACCTGCATCTCTCTCTGTCTCATTGTGTCACATGGATTACTGTTAATTTATTATGCTGATCTGTTCTGTACGACATCTATTGCACGTCTGTCCGTCCTGGAAGAGGGATCCCTCCTCAGTTGCTCTTCCTGAGTTTCTACCGTTTTTTTCCCCCGTTAAAGGGGTTTTTGGGGGAGTTTTTCCTGATCAGCTGTGAGGGTCATAAGGACAGAGGGATGTCGTATGCTGTAAAGCCCTGTGAGGCACATTGTGATTTGTGATATTGGGCTTTATAAATAAAATTGATTGAATTGAATTGAAATATTCCAGCCACATTTTCAGTCACATTGGTCATTTTCATTCTGAATTAGGTGTTTACAAGATCACTTTTAATAGGAATGAACTTTGATTCTGACGGAAAAGGGAATTAAACTGTCCGTGTAAACACACTGACTGACTCATAACTGATGTCAATATATCCACTTTATCCCACCTGATGTCAGTGATCATCATCAAGTCTCTTCTGTAGTGAATTAACATCATATCATACACACAGACTCTGATGGTGACGGCCCACCAGCAGGTGGAGACATGAATTTACTGTGTCTGTGATGTTTACTCACTGTGCTAAATAAGAAAACAACATGTTGGCTGATTCTGATCATTTTAAAGCTGATCAGCTGATCAGCTGATCAGCTGATGACGTGTCATATCATCGTGCATCCCTAAACCAAAGTCGTGTTTGACAAATGTGAGTTTTTATTCTTCCTCATGACAATAAATCATTTTCCTCCACGTCAGTATTTCAGTTCCTGTCAGTCTGACACACACACTCGTCTACTGAGCATCCAGCAGCCATTAGAGACTCAATATATAGATTATAATTAACTGCAGACACTGCCATCAGTTGACAAATATAATCGTTACAATACGTTTTATGCAGATCATCCTCAGCTCCTGTTCACTGTCATTTGTTTACAGTTAGTCTCGACCTCTCAAACATGGCGGCGCCTCTGACGTACCATCCAACGTCCAATGAGGCCTCCATGTTCCTGGATCTGTGCTCAGAGCTACAGACACACTCAAACATTTCACCCTTCACTTCACTGAAACAACATCTCTTTATTTCTCTGAACAAAACAAAGCAAAGCTCCAAACTGAGTTTCACACTGGTTTACTACACACACACTCCACCATTCACACCTCCCAGTATCACACTCCATCTCTCACTCTCTCCATTCACAGACAGGTAGGAGTGTATGGACATATAGAGGAGACACGACGCCAACTGTGCGTGTGTGTGTGTGTGTGTGTGTGTGTGTATGTTATAAAGCGGTATGGTGATTCGGTCGGGGTTTATGACGGCAGTTTTCCTGACTCACTCTATTTCTGATGTTTCCAAAGGCTCTTTGAACAGCAGATAATAGATCAGTGCTGGAGAGCTGCAGGGTGAAGACACCATCATCCTCACACACACACACACACACACACACACACACACACTCTCCATCCACATGGCAGCAGCGAGCGTGTGTGTGGGCGGCGGCAGGGTGAAGATACACCACCGTACTCGAGAAGCAACGAGTGGGAGGCAAACGCACAAACACACACAGTTTCACACTTCATCTCTTTTCATGGTGGAAACAGACTGTAGAGCTCTCCTCTGTAGCCAGTAATAACGACACAGCACGTGTGCCGACATGCAACAGGACGACCACGGCGAAGGACACACACATTAACAGCAGTCCATCAGCAGCTACAGCAGCTGGTGAAAATCACACACAACGCTAAACTGATGTCAACTCACCCGAGCGTGGTCATGGTGACGATGGTGTACCAGAAGGAGGCCGGGATGGAGGTGAAGGTGGAGCCCTTGGTGCCCTTCTCGGCGTAGAACATGACGGTGGCGAAGATGATGATGGCCATGGTGAGGGAGAAGAGCAGGAAGCCGAGCTCGGAGGCACAGCTCTTTAGTGTGTAGCCCAAAATCCTCAAACCCTGCGAGTGACGCGAGAACTTGAAGATCCGGAAGACGCGGAAGACTCGGAGGGTGACGAAGGCGCCGCTCACGTCCTCGTTCTCGGGCATCACCAGGCCGATGTAGTAGGGCATGATGGCCACCACGTCGATCACCGACATCACCGAGCGCATGAACTTGCAGCGGCTGGGCGCGGCGAACAGACGCATCAGGTACTCGAAGGTGAAGATGAGCACGCAGGCCGTGTCCATGCAGAAGAAGGCCAGCTGGTACTTCTCCCCGCAGGGAAGGTCTTTGACGCTGCCTTTGGGGGGCCGGCAGGGGACCGTCTCCACCACGTTGGCGATGACAGAGACGGCGATGAAGAAGCCGGTGACGTAGTAGAAGACCAGCGCCATGGTGGAGGTGTGGGGGTTCTCGAAGGCTCGCCACAGACGTTCCCTGGAGGTGCTGTGTGGAGGGAGGGGCGCGTCCATCGCCTCGTTGGCCTCCGTGTCCTCCGCCAGACGCTCCTGGTTCTCCTTTTTCCTGTCCCGGTATTCCTTCACAAAGAGACGAAGAGGAAGACGACATCAGCCAACTTATAATTCATCATCTCCTCCACCCATCTCCACCTGAACCGCACCACAATCACACTGTTCCAGACTTCAGAAGCGTGTCAACAAACGGCGTGAGGCCTCTAAACATTGTTCATGATCAGTATCTGACCAAATGTCTCCCCTTCTCTTCCTGAGATATGACGTTAAAACATGATGATGTCACAGTCAAGCTGACCTTTGACCTTTTGACCTTCATTATTTTATCCTGTTAGACATTTGTGTCAAGTTTGGTCAGAGTTAGTGAATGAATTCTTCAGTTATGGACAAAACATGTTCTGTGAGGTCACACTGACCTTTGACCTTTTACCAGCAGCTAGCAAACACACACACACACACACACACACACACACAGCAGTAGTGTCCACTGTTTCAGATGTTTAATAATAATTTTTGGAAATGTTATCAACATTTTTCTGACATTTCAATAATTATTTAACAGTTTCAGTTTTTTTCAGATGTTTTTAACACATTTTTGGAAAATTTAATATTTTTCATTTTATAATTTTTTCAGACATTTTATTAATTCTATTGATGATAATAATAGTTTTATTAATGTTACTAATGTGAGCCTGTATGTTGACCCTGCAGCATCACTCAGTGTGTGAAGCTGTGACATCATAGCCTGTGATTCAGTGGGCGCCGTCATCGTACAGTCTGCTGACATCACACTGGATGGTTGTTAGCTCCATGTCTCACAGAGCAGCTGACTGATCAGATGTTACGGTCTGTGGGACGATTAAAGAGAAGACGACACTGAGACAGTATAAAGTTTGTCAGTGTGACTTTTCCTCTCTGAGACGAGAGGTGTTAAAATAATCTGATGTTTGTATAAAGCTTCAGCCATTTTGGTTTTATTTTTGTTGTCATGACTTTAAGTTACTGCTTCTGTCTGCGAGGCGTGGCCACAGTCTGTGAGTCAGCCCCACCCCTCGCTCCTCCTCAGCCCCACCCCTCGCTCCTCCTCAGCTCCACCCCTCGCTCCTCCTCAGCTCCACCCCTCGCTCCTCCTCAGCTCCACCCCTCACTCCTCCTCAGCTCCACCCTCTCATCCTAATATGGTCACTTCTGGCTCCAAAAACAAGATGGCGACAGTTGAAATGCCAAACTGGAGGCATCAGAGCTGCAGTCCACAAACCAACAGGTGATGTCACCAAAGCTGCATCCATCATTTATACAGTCTGTGGTTACTGACAGTCTGATTTCATGATGATAGTTTTGTACCTGTGAGCTGATCACTGTTAACATCATGTCAGCTGCTGACTTCAGCTCCAGTCACTGTTCATAAAGCCTGATGTCACAGATTTACTCAGGGCTTCAATCTTTATCTGACCTCTGACCTCTCGCTTCCACTAAGGAAAACTCCCCAGAATAAACCTTTACCAGGGATAAACCATGACATGATAGGCAGCTGATACTGGGACCAGCACAGTATTAATAAACCAACACACCTATAAAGGAATTAAGAGCCTTTTCTTCACCACAAACTGATTCAGTTTCCACCAAAACACCAATAACTCACTTTGAGCTCCGTCATTTTAATGATCGTTCTGAGTTCAGATTCACTAAGGTTAGGTCTCCTGTTAGCCCTTAACGAGCTAATATAGTCATAAATTAAACAGCGGCCAGCGACCTCCACAGCCGCTAATAAACTGATCTGAGGGACGTTAAAGTCCTTCGTCAAACCCTGGATAACGAGCCAAACTCTTTCATTTACCGAAAGAAAAGCAGCAGAACCTGTGAAATTACTGAAGGAATAAAAATAAAAAGCATGTGCACGTTTCTCCAGGGAAACTGTGGGGGAAGTGTGAGCAAGTGAAAAAACTGAAATCCAGAAATGAGAATCTCTCACAGCTGAATCAACGTTTGTGAAGATGATGGAGTCTGCCAAATCTGAGGAAGCACACCACCGAGCCGCTCGTGAGTCAGTGACGGGTCAGATCTGAAAACAAGGATATAAAGACGTGAGAGCCTCTGAGGATAACGTGACAAACGGCGAGATAAAGAGCTCTGAAGGTGATTTGTTACTGAGACAGCGAGCGGCCAGGAAAATGACTTGTTTATGGCTCGTTAAAGAAATCACTCAGAAACACGAAGCCAAAAGCAGCAGCTATAAAAGAGCTAAATCAGACTCCATGTGAGCCGCTGCTGTTTCAGAGGGCTCATCACCGCCGTCCTAATGAGCCGGAGGTTTATCATGGAGTCTGTTAGTAATCCATCGCTGCTCTTACACTGTAGCCATTTAGCTGATCATGCTCTTCTCCAAAGAGACTTAATGAGAGCAGCAGCAGAACAAGCCACACTACAGTCAGGCTTTAGGAGGAAATCAAAGGTCAAAGGTCACAGCACACACATGAGTACACCAGGAAGGATGTAGGCGTTATAAAGATTAGAATCTGTCCTCCTTTATCGGACTGTGTTGAGCCAAAACAAAACAGGTCGGCACTCGCTGCAGAATACAGACGACAACATTTAGACACAGACGTGTTTCAGCTGCAGAGCCGTCATCAAGTGTTGTTGTGTTGAGCTGCGACAAAAAACACAACAGCGTCGAGGATCACAGACGTGAGTCCATGTCCAACATGTTCCTGCAGCTGCTTCACAGTAAAAGTCTGTAATGGACCGAAGGACTGAGCCCGAGATTTGGTCGTTAAATACAAATATGCATCTATTAATATTTTGCAAAATAAAGTGCAGGAGCAGAGAAGAAGAGCTGCTGCAGGAGCTGGTCTGTACAAGCAGAAAGCGAGTGGGGGAACTTAATTTAATTCAGGCGGCGGCGAAGCTGGAAATAGGACAGAGGCGTGAAGTGCAGCACGGCGGCAGTTCAGGAGCGCTGGTGTGGAGTTGCACAATGAAAATAATAGGGGCATATGTTTTGACGCGTGGCGTTGGCCGCTGGTGTGTTGTGGCCTTTACAGTGGAAAGTTTCTCCTCCTCTGTGCCGCTGCATCACGTCCACAGCTGTCTGTGCCAAAGAGTAGTGTGAAAGTCAAGAGCGCTCACTCTGCAGCAAAATCTGGGAACCAAAACATCCCCAGTAATTCACTGAGCTACACACCGAAGAGGAAAATTAAAATACAAACACGACTGCTTGAATTAAAGCGATGTGAAAGACGTCATTTACACCAGTGATGCTATAAAAGTGGAGTAAATTACGTCTTTTCAAGTCAGTGTTGCATGCTGCGGCTTCAGGGCACTTGGATTATGACAGACGAGCCGTTCCAATGTTTTTGAAATGCATTAGCGGAGTTTTATTACATTTTCAAAATGTGGGTTCCGTGCACTTCAAGTGTAGCTGTTTTCCTCCGATACCCCAAACGAGTTTTGTGGATTAAAAACTACACTGGACTTCTTGTGGGCACGAGGGTCAGTAAGTACTGTCTGTGTTTTCATTCTAAAGTGGCCATTTGCTTTGATCCTCAGCCCTAGCATGTCTTCATACGTACTGCACTGCTCATTAAAGACACGACATAAATGTTCATCACTAATTTAAATCTGTCCTTTTAGCTTCGTCACAACGTCTGGGAACATTTTACTTTGCTTTATGTACGTGTTTTTTAAGTTTCGTCAGGACCCAAGCAGGGAGGTGATGATCAGCGGCTCCTTCTTGGTGCCAAACACAGCAACTTTAAAAACTCTAAACCAGATCACTTCCTGTCACTCGACAGGAAGTGGAGGTTTACCTCCATGCAGCAGTCTCCAATGATCTCTGGCACGATACCATAGAAGGCCAGCTCTTCGTCGAAGGCCTGGATGCACTCGTTCCGCGGGTAGTGGAGCTTCCCGGTGCGGTAGAAGTTGAGAATGTGCCGGAACATTTCGGGGTCTCGGTCGAAGAAGTATTCCTGCGTGTCCTCGTTGTAGAAAAACTCCTTCTCTGAAGAGCCCAGCAGCGTCTCTGGATATCGATCCAAAGTGTTCTTCCATGTCTGCGGAGACGGAGGAGAAAAGAATAGATGTTTTTGTTTTTGTTCCACTTTTGAAACTCTAAAACTGGATGTGATGTGGGTGTCCATGCTGCTGAATCACGAATCTACACTCACATCCACAACACAATCTGCTGCTCAGTATTTGTCCTCCGAGGAAAAGAAATGCGGCAGTTTTTCTGAGACACATGAGCAAGTTAACAAAGTGTTGATGAGAGTTAATGAAATGTCTTTAGATGAACTCAGAGACTCCACATCAACAATCTGCTCTCGTCTAATCACTGACTTCTACATGATAATATTTCTGATGACATTTCACAGGTTGAGAGGCAGCGCTGGGAAGTAACTAAGTACATTTACTCAAGTTCTGTACTAAAGTACAAGTCTGAGGAACCTGTACTTTATTTCCATTGTTTTGTCACTTCCTCCTTCGCCTGCTCCACATCAGAGAGAAATTTACTGCACGTGGTTAACCTGAGAGCTTCAGTTACTTTACAGATTCAGATTATTGATAATAAACAAAAACATGATGATCCACCTCACAGATATCACCTGGTTACCATTTAACAGCTGCAACATTAAAGCGACGTCCCTGATGCACTGCTGAGAGATGAACTCATAAGCAGCAGCTGTCCAAAAGACACAATGCTGAAAAAACACAAAAATATTAAGGAGAGAGTCCAAGCAAGAATCTGTGGCTGGATTTTACTTTCACTTTCTCTGACAGTGCAGAAAACACCTTGAATCAGTCTCTCATTAATTTACCTTCAAGTAATCCAATACTGTGTTTTATGACAGGAATAAAGTAAATAAGTAAATAAGTACTTTTACATTTGGTACTTTAACTACATTTTTACACTAACCCTCTGACTTAGTGAAAGTAAAGTATTTTGACACAGTGCTGCTTCAGTGAGAGACGTGACAACTGTTTCCACCCTGTCAGGTGCTCCTGTGACATTTAATGTTCATTTTCAAAGCTAAGCATATTTTATAGGCCTCTGCTCGAAAAATGCATCCCCATAAAGAAATGAATATATCTCTGCAACCACAAGGTCTATTGAATACTCCTGGTGTCATGGTAAAGGGGACACTTGTGACATTTGTTAAGATGTGTAAATATCAGTATGTGTGTTATATGTGAGGAGTAAATGAAGATGGCACACAGCACAAATGAAACATTTTGAGGTTCGCCTAGAAACAAAAGCATTTTCAGGATGAATATCAGTTTGTAATGATGCAGCAGCAGCTCTAAACCTCGATCACATCATAGTACAATATGTGAACATGAACTCTGCAAAGGCTGATTCTGATAAAGTGAAGCAGAACAATATTAGAGAGGTTTTAGTACAGAAAATTCAGGCGAGCTCTCCAAAACTGCACCATGTTTGCATGTGATTTTTGTCATGTACAATCCAATATTTTTCATTTTTTGTTCCTGTAAATCCCTACTGATGTTTAAGATATACATATACAACTGACTGTTTCGTTTTTTTCCCACTCCAAACTGACCAATATGCACCTACTACATTTGAACCTGAGTTTCTATTCTGAGCTTTGGAGGCCCGTATCTCTGTGACGGTTCGGCCGATTTGAGTGATTGACACCTCGTTTGATTCGTTAGAGCCAATAGAATGATGCTATACCCACCAAAACGAGACTGACAGCACTGTAAGACAATCAGAGTCAGCAGAACGTGTTGTGGGGCGACTGTGAGTGGTCATTGTTATGCTTCCCCTGGAACCTCCGGCCGTCAAGTTTTCCGCCTGGATTCATGTGAATGACGGACCACATCATGGTAAAACGGGAATGAAGCGTGAATCAACAGCAGAATGAGTTTTCATGGCAAAAACAACAAGGTAAGAGACATATTACAAATATATTTTGGCGAAAAGATTTCTGTTGTTCTTTGGGCTCTAGCTCTCTGATGGTTTGTGGTAGAGTGCACATGTGTGGAAACAGCGGAGTCTCAGCTTTCATTTGAGAGTAACGGTGTGTGTTTTGCATAATGTGTTGTCGAGTTAGAGCCCGAAATATACCGAATGGGTCGGGATATCAGTGCTGTTGGAGTTGGATTTGTTGTTGTTAATTTAGTTGTTGTTGGAGCTGTGTTTGGGGCATGTAAAAAGGGTTTTTACAGCAATATAGCCGAGGTTCTGCTGTTTAATTTGATGTGCAACATCACTATATTCCTCGTGATCAGTGTATTGTTTCACACTGTGTTTGCAACGTCGCTCTCAACGTCTCCCAACTGGGGGACTTTCGGGCTTACCAGTAAAATCTGATTTACACTTTTTGTGAAAGGAGCAGTGACTTTAATAATAACACTGCAGCTTTTGGTCTTATTTTCTAAATTTTGAGAAGAGAATAAAACTGTTTTTGGAGACAGCTGACTGAGTCTGACTGAGTCTGACTGAGTCTGTCGGAGTCTGACAGCTAACGTTGTTCGGAGACGAGAAGAATTTTATTCAATGATACGTTGCGTCAAGATGTTTTTTCAATGTTTGGGAGCAACATCGTCTCATTGTGTTTGTTTGACAGAGAGCAGGAACCAGTTAGCTTCCTCATGTTAGCACCAACTCGTCACAGCGTTTATCAGACTGGGAAGTCACGCTGAGATTAAAACCTCTTACAAATGAGACGAGGCAAACACAAACAGGAAACAACATCAGGTCACAACAGCAACAGCACGTCTGTCAAAAACACATCACATAATGAAACAGTGCATTAATGACATATTTAGTCTGGAGTTTGTTGGTTAATTAGAGCAGCTGCAGCGAGCAGTGACCACTTCCTGTAGGCTGCGTCCACCAAAGCTGAAAACACCAAGCGCTCCTCAGAGTTCTTCAGCTGAGATGAGTTGGTTGCGTCTGATTGTTATGATGTGGAACTTCCATACTAGTATTTTCTCTGGTTGAAGCGAAGGCAGAGCATGCAGGAGAGGACGGACCTGCTGGTCTGTGTGGGCTGAATATACTTATATATATATGTGTGTGTGTGTGTGTGTGTGTGTGTGTGTGCAGAGTATTAACAGGTTTCTCCTCCAGTGTTGTTGTTGATCAACACATGTCAGATGTGACGGTTTGTCTTTGTGGTATTTGTCACTGTGACTGAACAGCTGCAGTGACGGTGACAAGCACAAGGTTTTTACTTAAAGTTGAAACTATCTTAACTCTCTGCACTCAGGAAACAAACACCTTAGTGTCAGCGCTCAGTGCAGAGTTCAAGCCCAGCGCCTCGTCACACTGCTGGTATATGTAGCACAGTGTAAATACACAGTGTTCCCTTTGCAAAGCTTTACAAAAATACACTGGCCTCGTATAAAAACACTTTGGTGCACGTGGCCTCTGAGTTTAACATCTTTTAAAGAGATAAAGGATGTGGAGTTTGAGTTCAACCTGCAGATCAGTCCAGGACCAGAGACCACAGCAGAACCTCTCTGCTCTCTGTGCTGCTTCACACTGAATCCATTAGTGACCTGAGATCATGTCTGCTTCACAAAGATAAACTCTTCAGTCTTAGGTAAGCTGCAGCTTTACCTGAGATGATCTTACAGAGGAGAATGTGTCAGTGTTGTAACCTACGCAGAGAGAGCGAGAGAGAGAGAGAGAGAGAGAGAGAGAGAGAGAGAGAGAGAGATGACCATCCCACTGTGCTGAGTCCTTCCTTTTGTTTGTATCATTTCAACACCTGCTGACTCATCAACAGCTCACACACAGATTCACAACAGAGGACTGTGAAGCTGCTGCAGCCGCTGAACCTCCACGAATATATATACACATATATATATATACTCCTTATACATTTATACTGAAGTTCTCAGATGATGCTGGTGTCTTTGCTGACGAAGACGATCCCAGTGTTCATCAGACAGACAGACAGAGCGTCGTCTCTGGATGGAGACATTACGTCCGACCGCTCTCACACGTTATCTGAGGACTCTCACATTTTGCCATCACACAGACGGTGTGAATGTGCCGTGCTCTCGGTCCAGCTGTGGTTAACTGCTGGATTATTTCACCGTGCAGACGACTGCAGAGCAGCGCTGACGTGTTCAGGAAGAATCAGAAATACTTTATTGATCCCAGAGGGGAAAGTGTGATTCACTGCAGTCCAATAAGGAAGAATAAAAGTATGAAACCAAAGTATGTAAATAAAAGGCAAACTGCATGCAGCTGCTAAACTTTATGTTCTTTGTTAATCAGCCGTGGAGCCGGGGCAGACAGCAGATGCAACAGAGTGATGCACAGTTTATGACGCCATCAGCAGCCATGATCCATTCTCTGTGTTCTGTGTGTCCTGCGTTAGACAGAAGGAGGAGGCTCGCTAGTGTCAGCTGTCTTTCTTTTATTAAAACGTGCTGACGGCAAATACGCAGAGCATCAGATCTTACAACAACAAGTCTTCTGTGACCTCAGATCTCTGCACATCATGGACAGTGACCAGCTCACAGACGGAGGTGACAACAGCTGCACTTCCTGTTAGCTCGTTGGAACTTAACTGACATTACAAACAGTTTTTAATGCTCTTAGTGTCCTCGTCAAATGTTGAAACACAGAACATGATGTTGGGAGAGAACGAGGCCACGTTAGATATTTTCCTGAGTTTAACTGAGTTCTCTGAACACGTGTTAAAAACACAAACACAGCGGCTTCATCTGAAGCAGAGACGTTGAGTAAGACGAGAGCGTTGAAGCATCACTAACTGACGCTAACAGTGGAGCCTGTTTTATGCCTCCATGTTATTATGTGTTGTTACAGAATGTTTGTATTTATATCTCAGAACTTCACGCTGCTGCTTTTACTTTTTAACAATGAGGACAAAGTCAAAGTCCTGACAGGAACTTTCTTCTCGTTCTGCCGCCGCAGCAGAAAATGTTTGATTCCTGAAAGCCACCAAAATCTATTTTTACTGTGGAGCCATTTTGTTATTATTTCAGCCTAAATGCACATCGATGCTGATTAGACGCTCAGTTTTTACAACCTTGGGCCCTGGAAGGAGCAGAGGCAGAGCGCAGCACATCAGGAGCAACATGAATCTCTGCAAGTTAAAGAGCTTTTAATTTTCCTCATGGACGAAGAAATGTGACCCGATGATTAAACACTGGGGCAGGTGCTGCCTTTATAATAACTTCTGATTATTTCTGCTTCATTAAAAAAGCCAAATGAACAAAACTGTGTCTGGAACATCTTCAGGAGTCGACTACAAGTCCCAGAGAGCCCTGCTGTGACTAACATCCAATCAGAGAGCTCAGATTCTGTTGCCAGGCCTCTGATGGAGCTGAAATTAGAGCCTGTTGGATAAATACATGCAAATTAATCTGCTTTTGGAAATCTGACAGATGAAGTTGATATTTTGTTGGATTTCAGTTGTGTTGTTAAGAAAGTGAAAACCAAAGACCTCCAAACGTGTCATGCCGACGACATCTTGACCGTGAGGTATGAAGAGCAAAACCCAACGTCTGCAAACCGACACATTCTCTCTCCCAAATCGTCACAGATCGCTGCTCTGCTAGTCCACTTGTGACGTCTACATAGGATGCACTAAATAAACTTAGAACATCAGTAAAACACCTCAAATTAATGTTTATTTCATTCTGCAAAAACAGCACGTGTTTAGGTTTAGAAAGAAATTATCATGGTTTGACTCTACATTCATACAGGAAGTGAACAGCGGGCTCCTGAGTGAAAGTCCAGGGTCTGTTGGACCCATCCACCACCCCTCCCGTCTGCTCTGTAGGGACTTTCCTGCTCCTTAAATTACGTTATTGTCAGGTGATGTTTCAAACTGATGACATCCACTGGCGTTGTTTAATGACGCCGCCCGACAGCGTTAACATACTGCCGCAAAAGGAAGTCTGTTTTGTTGTCTGTGTCTGACACAGACATTAATGACCAAGTTTGGCAAAAGGTCATAATGTGAGCATCCACACAGCAGGAAATTCAAACATTACTTGACTGTCCGACATCTTTGTTGCGGTATTTCAACATCAAACCTTAAAATTCAAGATGGACACTCTGCACATCAACAGCAGTGAAGCTGCAGGTAAATCTTCTACCTGTGGACGTGTTGCTACGGTGTTTGTGTGTATGCGCCAAATACAGCTGATGTGTTTGTTATCAACTCGGATTACTGACGACACTTTGGTTTGCCAACATGTGCTACAACGCTGTGACATCACTCCCAGCTCTGACCTCTGACCTCCAAGGTAAATGGAATGCAGCATATATCATGGCCCATTCTGGAACAAACACTGAGGCTCATGGGTAATGTAGTGAACCTACACTGAGCAAGTCCTGAATCTGTGCATGAGAAATCAGTCAGCAGTTATCGAACATGTGTACGCCATATGTGCTCAACAACATCTCTTTAAAAGCTTCAGTGCAGAACGACAAGAAACAACACAGACTAAATAAAAGCTCTGATTAGATCTGATCTGATGGATGTGTTCTCGTTACCTCAGGATGAGACGTCTACACAGATCACCATGTTGCACCGCCATGTTTCTACAGTAGTCCAGAACGGCCAAACCAAACACTGACTCTAGATAGAGACATTCATGTGTTCATAATCAGCAGATCCTGCATGATGAGCAGCGTCAGAGAAACACGTCTTTCTTCAGAGTGTGAATCAGCTGGTGTGTGTGTTTCTGAAAGGAAGAGATAATTCAGCTCCTCAACAATCAACACTGAAGGAATTCTGACCAGGAGGAGTTTCAGATGGTTGTAATCTGTAATCTGTAATCTGTAATCCTCACTGACAGACGCCACTAACTCTGACACATTGTTCCTTTAAGGCAGCGCTAACACACAGTGGCAGAGGTGAAGACAAAGTGTGAGACTTTAAAACGACGGCATGTTGCACAGAGGAGACACAGAACGGTTCAACAGATGACGAAATATTGCAGGTTATCGGACGGATGTCTCCTGGTGATGATGAAACTAAAGATGAGACTCGTGTGAGCGGTGACTCAATTGTTGCACTTCTCTTAATCCAATTAAAACGAGAGGAACGACCACTTTGTTCTGATCCCAGGATGGTTATAAGTGAGTGCCGTGAACAGGAACAGACACGTTGGATCTGCAGGACGGAACACAGAGCTGCTGGTGAGGCAGAAATACCATGAAAGAGGTGGCGTTGACATCACAGAGGGACAGCGGGGGGTTAATGTAAATTTAAAAGAAGTGATGTCCTTGTTCTGGAGATAAAGAGAAGCGCCTACAACCTGTGTCAGACTTCAGAGGAAGAAGCTGCTGGTTATTAATGAGACTGTTCTGCAACAACACCTGCTGACAACAGGTCTTAACAACATGTCTGAAAGGTCATGACTGTATTTTTGAGCTGAATGTTTTCGTATATTAGTGACTGATAACAACAGTTTTTCACCATCACCAAACCCTCCACACTCCAACCTCTCTAACTCCGCCAGGACGCCGACATCCTCGCTCCCCTCCTCCTCTGTTAAATGGTATCTCCCAGGCGCACTACGTCATCAAACCATGTGATGTTTGGTATTGCCGGATTCAGGAAGCTCTCGACTTTTCAAAAATAACATTGTTTTTCTTTTATTTATTATGTATTTGGCACCAGAGCAGCCTAAACACACAAAGTCCAAAATCACCATGAGTGGTGACAAGTCATGTCATGCTGTTTTTCGACGGGAAAAGTTAAAGGATTACTCGCGATCTTATGTGGAGCTGTTAGCGGGGACTTAGCTGGTTTATAAAAGGTAAGAGTCTCACTCCTACCACTATTTATGGCTGAGATATACCGTCTAGAAAGAGGGATCATAACTTTCACGTTTCATATGGCTTTATTTGGTGATATTTTATGGTGTTTCTGTGTCATAAACAACATCAGCTATCATAATCACACCTGATTTCAATAAGGTACAATGTTTGAAGCTGGCTGAGTGTTGTTTGATCACTGACAGTACTGTTTTGAAGCAGAGTGACCGACTTGTCATTTGGAGCTCCGCCTGGATCTTTTCATGGTAAAAACACTGTAGAATGGTCATACTTTGAGCAGTCTTCTTCAAATTTGAAACAAGTGTTCATTGATAGTGTGCCTACAGCCCCACAGTGTCATTTACCTGCTCAGATGAAGCCACAGACAGTTATTCATCCTGAAACACATTTTTTATTTTAGGCAAAATATTCAATTTTTTACTGACTTCAGAGGCCCATTACTCTGTCTCTGTATCACCTAGAGTGTTTCTGACACTTTCACAAGAAACTTCAGAGAGTTTTCTTTCTGGCAAGACCTCATGCATGCATGTAGTCAGAGCGGTTCAGAAGTTACAGTCATTTTAATTTGGGTATGTCATTTTAGGCGTTTTTGCAACAAAATGGGGGAGGAGTGCACTAATCAGTCATGTTAGCCTGTATAGATCCAGCACTGTGTGAAGACAGTGCTGGATCTATACAGGCTAACATGACTGATTATTTAAATGGAGTCTGGAGGGTTTCAGGTGATTTCAGGGCTGTGCAGGTCGGGTCCATCAACGGGTCTGAGACCAGTGTTCAGGCCTCATCACAGACCTGCTCACAGGCCTATTTTAAAAGATGTAAACACACTTTATCTCAACGTTAACAGGTGTTCACACACACAGGTATTTTAGGAAAGGGTTCCAGGGTTTTGCAGAATTGTCTGATATTAATGTTGCAGGAGGTGAAACAACCGTCTCCCTTATATTCAGCTACAACATTTTTCTGCAAAAATGACGGTCAGTTAAAGCACATGAAGTACTGTTATTAGCATCAGGCAGCTGAGCTCATATTGAGCTGATCTTTAGACGACAGATGTTTGTGGAGTTTGGACCTCATCAGACTTGTTGCTCACTGTGGAAGCAGCTGAAGTTGACCTCGACTCCCCACTGTCTTTATTCTCAGGGTCACTGGACCTGAAAGGTGAAATATTCCCTGACTATTTTGGAGCATGCTCAGTAGACAGCGACACCCACCTGAAACCTGACCCCGCTGACGTTGACGTACAGGATCTCATCTGATCTGGACGAGTTGTCCACGGGAGGCTTGGGCATCGTCTTCTTGGCCAGCGGCAGCCAGCCCACGGCCGCAGCCCGGGCAAACGGCAGCCACGTCGCCACACCGGCTGCCATCTTGCATCAGTGCGTCCCACCTGTACAGAGTCGAGTTCTGTCCTCTGGTTGGACGGTGGAGCTAATGAAGGGAAGTCAACTGAATCCTCACTTCTTGTCCTGCCCTGATTTCCTGGAGTGGTCGTGGCGGCAAGAGCGGAGGTGGGCAGACATGTTGACGGGGGAGGATGGGGGGAGGAGGGGCGGTGGGAGGGGCCAGATGGCAGTTAGGTGTCAAGCCATGAAAAAAATGCCGTAAAGGAGCGAGAAAGACGATGCATCTGACAGGTATGTGGCCCGTTTTTGATTCTGATGAGTTTATCACGTCCTTCCTGTTGCCCGCCAAAATAAAAGCAGAGCTGGCCTGTTAGGTGCTCCTTTAAAACCCAGAAACTCTGAGCAGTAATAATCTCCAGGTGACAAAGTTTCAGTCGACAGGAAACGCTCAGTCCTAAATAACGAGATGCTCGTCTTCACAGCTCAGACTCTCCAGGTAGGAAACATGAAACTGAGCCTCAGAGTCTCACAGCAGCTCAACATGTGTGAAATAATAATCACAGCTTTATTTCTGCAGGGACTCCTCAACAAAAGAAACAAAGATATAAATCCAGGCAGGAAGGAGTTAAAAGATTTGTGTCTGGCCTCCACCTCTCTCTCTCTGTCTGTCTGTCTGTCTGTCTGTCTGTCTGTCTCTCTCTCGGCCCGCCCTCTCTGCCTCTGAAGACAGATTTGTTGCAGCGCCGCAGCCTTTCAAATTCTTATTAAATTGTGATGATGGTTCCTGAAGTTGCAAGATAGACAGAACGGGCCGGGCGGCCTCTAAGTGGAGATTATGGATGTGCAGCCTTCCTCTTCCTCTTCCTCTCTGGCTCCTTCTGCCTCTGCTGCTGTTTCTGCCTCTCTAACTTCCCTTTATCTGCCTCTGTCTTACTGTATCTGTCTGTCTGTCTGTCTGTCTGTCTGTCTGTCTCTCTGTCTGTCTCTCTGTCTGTCTCTCTGTCAGAGGGGCATTAGTGGTGGCGATGGAGGAGATACAGCAGCTCTGTGTTGGAGAGCGAGGAGGAGGAGGAGGAGGCGTCAGGCGGTCCTTACTCCATGTCCATGTATGGCCGTCCTGTCAGGAGACACACAAACAGAAGGAGAGACAGAGAGTGAGAGACAAACCAGGAGGAGAGGAGAGGAGAGGAGAGGAGAGGAGAGGAGAGAAGTAGAGAAGAGAGGAGACCTAAAACTGTCAAAGGAGAGGAGGAGGAAGGAGGTGTGGGAGGATAAAACAGGAGGAGACGAGGGAAAAGATGCGAGCAAAGTGAAAAGCAGGAGAAAGAAGAGGAGTCAGAGAAAAGTGGAAGTACTGAGGGAAGGAGGTGAAGACAAGAAGGAAGGAGAGGAGGAAGGAGACAGACAGAACAAGGAAAGGAAGACAGATGAGGCGAGGTAGATAAAGGTAAATAGATGGAAGGAACAAAGACGGATGGGGAAAGGAGAGAGGAGAGGAGACAAAAAGAAACGGAGGACTATGGGAAAGGAAAGTAGGAAAAATAAAAGACAGCGAGAGGAGGAAAGAAGGAGAGAGGAGAGATGGGGAGGAAGAGAGGACGAAGGAGAAAAGGATTTGTCAAAAGAAACAAGAAACTAAGAAAAAGAAGAGTAAGGAGCCATTTAGTCTAAACTCAACCCTGAAAGTCTTAAAGGACCATTTCACTGTTTTCATCAAATCTCACGTTCAGACTCAAACCAGCAACACAATCGTCTGTCTGACTTCCTGTGTGACTTCCTGTCTGACTCTCAGCTCTGACTTCCTGTCTGACTCTCAGCTCTGACCTCACTGGCTCCTCCTTTAAAACACAGTCTCATCAGTAGTTTCACTGTTTTTATCAAAGCAACAGGATGAACTTTGTTGGGACTATTTTCAGCGGTGGATTAATCCACATGTGGTGCTCTGGTCAGTGTCGGTGTCAGCAGGACGGCGTATGTTTGTCATGGCAGCTGGATTCTTGTGACATCACAGAATCACATGAGAGTCCATCATGTCAGATTACAGTAATGTGTTCTGGACCAATCAGCGTCTTGTCGCTGGTCGTATGATAGCTAACACATTAACTTCCCACAAATAACGTTAACATCCTCAAAGTTACGATACGACATAAAGTTACAGAGGTTAGGTTCAGGAAAACAAACATGGTGAGACAACCAGGAGCCTCGTTTATCAAACAGTGCGTCTGATCCGAACTACCAACAAAAGCCAAACATGACGTGCGCCAACAAAAATATGACAGTTCCTACAGTCAGGCTTCTGGCTCACCGTCTGCATCGTCAACTTCCTGTCTCCAAAATGTTCATCAGCATGCGTCAAAGTGTCTCCCATCAAGTCTGTTTTTGTAGATCACAACTTCTGCGTGGGAAGTGGCGTGCGCCTCTGTCAGGCCTCGTCCTGTGTGTACGCAGTGTTTATAAATGACTGTCTTTTAAAAAAAAGGCCTTTGACGTTGTCATGGCACACAGCCGGTTGCCATTATTGTTGAACGGCGCCCAGCAGTGTCAGAGGTAAACATGGTGGGACAACAGCATACAACTTATGCTGTTGTCCCACCATGTTTACCTTTTAGGAGGTGAAAGTGCGAGTAGGGCGGGTCCCTTTGTGACCCGTCAGCCATCTCAACCCGCCTCCTAACACGACCACCTCCTGATTTATTTTTCACTCCAGTCAGCGCATTGGTCATGTGATCACAGCCCTCTGATTTACACGTGTTACGCCCAAATTACTGGCCCATGTTAAGTAGGAATTTTGACTTTTTGTAAAAAAGCATACGTTCATGAGAACAGCCTGATGAAGGCAGCTGTGCAGCAGCAGCAGCTCTCGTGTTCAGAGAGGTAAAATTACTGCTGAGTTTCACCTTCAGCTCAGTTCCCCATCGTAAAGTCGTGTTAATGAAGTCGCCTGGATAAATGAGCCTGTGCTTTACCTGCAGGAGGTGTGAAATGTTCTTAACAAATTCATCGTAGCACAGGAGAGTAACTGACATACAGACAACCACAAACAACACATTTACTAAATAATAAGTAAGTCATGGTGATATTTATGATTTATTTACACATATAAATGATATTTTTAATGTCTGTCAACATGGAACAAGTTCAGCCTGCAGACACATGCTCATGAATTCATCTGTTATTTACTGCTCTCTGTTTTAAAACAGTTTTGATCTATTAAAGACATGAACACATAATGTTCTTAATAAAAACATCAGGCCTGTGTGGTATCGATCCTTCTGTCCCAGCGTCCCCTGACAGACACATGTTCATGTGTTTAGGATGAAGATATAAGGCTGCAGGTTATTAAAGATGAGACCAACGCAGCAGCGTCCTCAGTCTGCAGAGGAAAAACACAGCCTGCGCCTCGCTCTTTATTTCTCCCTCTGCGTTCTTCATTCAATAAAGAAGACACAATAAAGTTTCCTGTGAAACTGCTCTTCGTCAGATGAAAAGTTATTGTTGCCGGTTTATTGCATAAAGTCCACAGTGGGAGCAATAAAACTTTTCCTTCCTCGGGTTTGGTTTGAATCACAGCGAGTCTGAGGTTTAACCTCTTCATCACCAAACAGCCATCAGCAGGTCGTTCATCACAAACTCCTGCTGGGTATAATTATTATCATTAAAGTTTACTGAAGAGATATGTCTGAACGTCTCTTAGTGATGGAGTCAATGTTTCAGTCAGTTGTTTAAATTCTGTTGCAGCTGCACAGTTAATGAAATATTATCAAAACTGCAACATGATGAAGTGAAATATCTAAATCACAGGAGCTGAAACTTTTTGATGAAGGTTAAACGTGTCACAACATCCTGATGAAGAAGAAGGAGAAGATTTACGCAGAGTAGAATCACCTCACCTACAGTGAACACACCTGTCAGCCAACACACACACGTGGTGACGTTTAGCCAACACACACACGTGGTTACGTTTAGCCAACACACACACGTGGTTACGTTTAGCCAACACACACACACACGTGGTTACGTTTAGCCAACACACACACGTGGTTACGTTTAGCCAACACACACACGTGGTTACGTTTAGCCAACACACACACGTGGTTACGTTTAGCCAACACACACACGTGGTTACGTTTAGCCAACACACACACGTGGTTACGTTTAGCCAACACACACACGTGGTTACGTTTAGCCGGCACACACACACGTGGTTACGTTTAGCCGACACACACACACGTGGTTACGTTTAGCCAACACACACACGTGGTTACGTTTAGCCAACACACACACGTGGTTACGTTTAGCCGACACACACACACAAGTGGTTACATTTAGCCAACACACACACGTAGTTACGTTTAGCCGACAGACACACACACACACACACACACACACACGTGTGGTTGGGTTTAGGAACAAAGAACAGGGTTTGGCTTTACAATCTTACAGGAAGTGACCACCGGCCTCCTGGGTGAAGGTCGGTGGTTGTTGGACGTTATTGTCTCACTGTGTTTTCCCATGACACTGCTGGGTGTTGTTAAACAATAACAGCGACAAGATGCACATGCCGATGTGAGAAGATGGTTCTTTTGGTCAGCGTCTGACACAGGAAGCCCAAGCGTCGGTATTCAATGACTTTGGAGTAAGATCTTGTTGACCCTGGAGCACACCCACCTCATCAACTACCACTACACCACTGGGTGCAGGTGACGTACGTCGTGAGAGACGACAGGTGGAGTTCACTGAGTTGTTGCACACAAAACTAAGTCAACAACAACAAACTGTGACTTTCTTAACTTGCAGATCATCTTTTAAACCTACAGATATCATCTGTGTGATTCATGGCACAAATTAAAAATGATTTGTCTCTTGCCGTTAACCACCGCATGTTTTTTCTACAATGTAGGTCCCATGGGGGTCGGAGGAAGAGGAGGGACTCTGCCTCTCTGTAAATCCAGATTCACAGTGTTACTCATCACACTTCTGTAAAGCTGTGAGAACACAGTGATCAGATGATCAGCAGGTGACGTTCAGTCGGTGAAACACAGAGTTCAGAAACGTACCTGAGTCGTCTCAGTGTAATTCCAGCACACAGAGACTCATCATATAACCACATGTTCACAGAGCTGCTGTTAGCTCAGCGTTGTTCTGTTCATGTTGGAGAGGCTGTCGCCACCACAGATCAATACACACTCATCACTGGATTATACACACAGGCTGAAGCCGACAGTAACGTCACACATGGTGAATCGTTTGTTCATGAAAATCTTGATCTTGATTCAGGGACAGTGACGTGTCTCATAGCTCGCTGTCTTGTTGTTAAACATCCTGTCAGATTATATTTACTGTTTGTTGTTGGCTTTGAATCATGTTAGCGTCACGTTAGCTTTCTGGCTAATATCTGAGCTAAAGGGTTCCATGTGCTGGGCGGACCAGACTATCTCCTGTTGCTACTGTAGGTCGTATCTGAGGTTTGATCTATTTACTGGAGAAGTGAATAATACTGCATGAGAACTTTACAAGGCTGCAATGATTGTTCCAGGTATTAGTCAAGCCCTCAGGTGTTACCATGGAAAATGAGTTATGGCCTGTGATTATATTAATATCTTAATATTATTATTTTTATGTCTTTGGTAAGTGACCATGGTATAACCAAGACAGTGTCCTTCAAGATGTGCGTCAGACAGTTTATGCCTCCACATCGGCAGTTAAAAAGTGATGAGGGACACCTTGCTGGGCGTTCGCCTGTACATGTATGTATACTGTATGTACTTTTCTGTTAAGTGCCTGCTTAACGTTAAGGTAAGGGATGGAAGGCCTTATGGATCGAGCCCTTTGCCTCAGCAAGTCTGGACCCTCCCAGCGTGGCAGGACGCCCCCAGAGCGCTGCCGCACGATTTAAAAGAGTCACGTGTTAAAAAGACATTTTAAGGTCTCCTCTCACAAAGGGACAGATCTGTCTGTGACACCTCCACACTGCCTTTAAACACACATCAAAGTGTAGTGCACACACACACACACACACACACACACACCCATACTTGCCCTGCCTCTGTTAAATCTCCAGTGTGTGTTGATGAATTATGAATCAACTTTGAGCCTGACTGGTTTCTCTGCGTTCAG